TTCTTTCTCGTCTATTCTGCTGTCTCCAGGCACTGCCACATCCACTATCCAGACTTTTTTGTCTTTCTTATCGACAATTGTTAAGTCCGGGGTGTTATATTATTATTATTAGTAGTAGTAGTATTTAGACATGAGGCCACCCGAAGATCTTAAAGCTGTAGACAAGGGGGGCAGGGGCCTTAAGCAAAACTCGAGAAGGTGGCAGCCTAATTCCATATTATAGCAATGAAAGATTCACGTCTAGGTCCAAAGTTCACCGTCAAGAGTCAAGTCTGTCCTGACAAAATCTTTAGCTGAGGGCTTTTCTTTCCAAACTCTGAGGACAGGGCAGTGAGTGAATAGCTTCCTTTGCTATTGCATTCTCCACATTGCTGAGTCAGCAAAACAGAAAATGACTGCCGGTCAAATCCCAGCGTTTCTGGAGAGATTGAGGGTTGAAACGCGCAGAATTGTGACAGCGCCTTTCATTTCACCTCCCAGGCAGAAGAGCGATGGATTTCATCCTGACTGTTCAGCAGGACCACTCAAAACAGTGGATTTATTCCCCCACCCCACCCCACCTCATTCTTCGCTGTCCTACATTGCAGGCAATAAGAAGGAAATACGGTCGGGCCAACGTCTGAAGCAGTGGTTCTCAACCTTTTTAATGCCGCGATCCCCAACCGGTCGTAAGTCGAGGACTATTCAACTGGTCGTAAGTCGTGGACTACTCAACTGGGGCAGCACCGTTTGCAGAATGGGACTTTTGGCGGGCTCAGCAGGGCAGAGACAGCCTGGACAATTCCTATTGGCTTTTGAAAGCCAATAGAATTAGACTCTATTCAAGAGAGTCTCTTCTATTGGCTTTCAAAAGCCAATAGAATAAAAGGGAGAAGCACAGCTAAGGAAAAGGGGGAAAAAATGGCGGACTGCGTTGTTTGGCGACCCCCGTGAAATGGTCGTTCGACCCCAAATGGGGTCCCGACCCACAGGTTGAGAACCACTGGTCTGAAGCCACTTTTTTTTCCTTGAATCCGTTTAAAACAAACGCTGCAGTAGGTCGCTGGAGACTCAGTCATCCAGGCCAAAAGCATCTCAAAAGGTTAAATCACGGCGGGCGACTGAGCCGAAGTTTGTTCATCTGAGATGTTTTGTTACTCCTCCGAGTAACTTCGTCAGTCAAAATAAAAAAATAAAATTAGTCAGAGAGCTGTTGGCATGTACTGTCTAGAGGGATTCTCAGTCAACCATGTCATGGTTATCCCAAGAGCGCTTTTTTCACGAGGCAACTGGACTTCCTTGTTTTTCTTCGAAGACGTTTCGCTTCTCATCCCAAGAAGCTTCTTCAGCTCTGACTGGATGGTGAGGAATGGAAGGATTTATACTCCTTGCAGACAGCTGGTCATTTGCATCCTTTTAGAGAGTCATGGAGGCCACTTGGAGATTTATCTCTGTGTCCTCAGGGTCACCTGAGTGGTACAAATGGGTGTGGAGCCTTTTCTTTAAGACGTTTCCCTTCCCATCCAAGAAGCTTCTTCAGCTCTGACTGGATGGTGGGGAATGGAAGGATTGATACTCCTTGCAGACTGCTGGTCATTTGCATCCTTTTTAGAGAGTCGTTGAGGCCAGTTGGAGGTTTCTCTCTGTGTCCTCGGGGTCGCCTGAGTGGTGCAAATGGGAGTGGAGCCTTCTTGGGACCACGGAAAGGACCGAGAAGGCCCCACCGCCCTTTGCACTACTCAGGTGACCAAAGACAACACAGATAAGCCTCCAAGTCCAACGTTATGATATTTTTTGCCATGCTCGTTAAATGAATCCAGCTTCCCCCATTGAGTTTGTTAGAAGCCAGTTCTTGTTACGGTTGCGGTACACCATGCTTTGTTAAAAAGTCCATAACCATGTACCAGTAATCAGGAACTACTAAGATTCAACTTTTAATTGTCTTAGGGATTGAAAGGGTATGTGGAATTCCCACATGCCATTCCTCCGTACCTTTATGGGGATGAACTTGGAAAACAGGGGGAAGCATCTGTCTAGGAAATGATCAAATATGACATATCATGAACGGTTGCAGAAGCTGGATATGTCTAGTCTAACAAAGAGAAGGACTGGGGGGGGGACATGATAGCAGTGTTCCAATATCTAAAAGACTGCTACAAAGAAGGGGAGGTGTCAAACTATTCTGCCCTAAAGAAGAGGGAGTCAAGCTCTTCTCCAAAGCCCCTGAAGGCAGGACAAGAAGCAATGGATGGAAACTCATCAAGGAGAGAAGCAAGCTAGAATTAAGGAGAAACTTCCTGACAGTGAGAACAATTAACCAGTGGAACAACCCGCCTCCAGAAGCGGTGAATGCTCCAACATGGGAAGTTTTTAAGAAGAGACTGGACAGCCATTTGTTCGAAATGGGATAAGGTCTATTCAGTAATTCCATTCCATTCTGTTCTGTTCTCTATTCTCTATTCTCCATTCTGTTCCATTCTACTCCACTCATTTTCATCTATTCTATTCTATTCTATTCTATTCTATTCTATTCTATTCCATTCCACATTCTATTCTATTCCATTCCATTCCATTCCACATTCTATTCTATTCTATTCTATTCTATTCTATTCTATTCTATTCTATTCTATTCTATTCTATTCTATTCCATTCCATATTTTCTATTCTAGTCTATTCTATTCTATTCTATTCTATTCTATTCTATTCTATTCTATTCTATTCTATTCTATTCTATTCTATTCCATTCCATTCCATTCCATTCCATTCCATTCCACATTCCATTCCATTCCACATTCTATTCTATTCTATTCTATTCTATTCTATTCTATTCTATTCTATTCTATTCTATTCTATTCTATTCTATTCTATTCCATCTCTATTCTATTCTATTCTATTCTATTCTATTCTATTCTATTCTATTCTATTCTCTTACGAGCTCACCTTTTAGCTTTTGCTGAGATGTGTGCCAAGTTTTTCTTTCCTGATCAAGCTTGCTGCATAGGGGATCTGAAAGAAAACAGAGGAACATCTCATTCAGCACCAAAAGGCACATTAAAACACAGTAGAGGTTTGCATCCAAAAATCCTGCCAGACAGGCAATCCTACCTATTATGTAGACCATAAGACTGATGTGGATAAGAGTAATGTGCGCGGATTTCATTTAAAATGAGTAAATATATAATCGAACAAAAGGGGTAGTCTTGTAGAAAATTATCCTTTACTAAAGTAAAAACAGCAGGGTGCAAAATGTCATTGAGTATTGTAGGCAACTTTACCCCCTGTGGACTTCACCTCCCACAATTCCTGAGCCAGTCATGCTGGCTCAGGAATTCTGGGAGTTGAAGTCCAAATGTCTTAAACTTGCTGAGGTGGGGACACATTGCAATAAATCAATCTGTATTTTTTTTTTTTTTGCTCCCATCTACCAAGAGGGTAGTTGGGTGCTATGGTGACTCAGGAATTCTGGGAGTTGAAGTCCATATTGCGTCAAGGGGGCTACAGAGGCTCCACCTTGTAGTACAACAGAGTACTTCAAGTTTTAACTTTTAGATCAGTGTTTCTCAACCTTGACAATTTTAAGGCATGTGGACTTCAACTCCCAGAATTCCACAGCCAGCAATGCTGGCTGTGGAATTCTGGGAGTTGAAGTCCACATGCCTTAAAATTGTCAAGGTTGAGAAACGCTGTAATTTAGATGATTCTGGACATATCAAGAACCTTTTCAAAGCACAGTGTTCCCTCTCCCCACCCCTCACAAATCTGTTTAAAGCGGATTTATGATCCTCTTCTCATCTGCCACTTTCAAAGTTTCAGATAACACACTATCAATCAGTGTTTCTCCACCTCATGCAAGTTTTAAGGAGTGTGGACGTCAACTCCCAGAATTCCCCAGACGGCATTCTGGGGAATTCTGGGAATCGAAGTCCACATCCGGGAGTTAAAGTCCGCATCCTATCATCCCAACTCACCACGGCAACCAGATCTAGGCTGCAAGACTCTGCACAGCCACTAGATGGCAGCAGCGCATCTGAGTTCCCAATTTTTGTACCCCCCCCCCCCTTGATTGTAATGCAGACTGGATTTCTGCAGCAGGGGTTAGACTAGAATAGAGCTGGAAAGGGACCTGGGAGGTCTTCTAGTCCAGCCCCCTGCTCAAGCAGGAGAACCTATGCCATCTCAGACAAGTGACTGTGACGATAGACTTCCTTCTTTTCCGCTAGATGCGGGAGGAAATAAACAGCAATCATGCTTCCACTTTTCTACGCTGTTCCCACAATTTGCTCAACTGGATGTGTGTGTGTGTGTGTGTGTGTGTGTGTGTGTGTGTGTGTGTGTGTGTGTGTTAAGCTTCTGTGCATGGGTCTCTTCACTGAAAAAGCAAATATATGAGCAATTACTTTGGTGGGTCATTGCACAAAGCACTGTTTTAACATAGGGGTCTTCCAACTTGGCCCTTTGATGACTTGTAGACTTCAACTCCCAGAATTCCTCAGCCAGGCACAGGTGCCTGGCTGAGGGATTCTGGGAGATGAAGTCCACAGTCATCACAGGGCCCAGTTGGAAGAACCCTGTGTTATATATAGCATTTCCTGATGTAAAAAGTAGTTGAGGAGTGGCGCAGACCTGGTGGATTATTCCTTCAATGAAGAATATAAAGAATATAAGCCGTTTCTTGGGTTTGCAGATTCCTCCATTGGACCTAAATGTTCTCCTTTGCCCTTTCTGGCCCATTTTATTGCTCTAAATGCAGAGATAGATTGCCTTGTAACAATAATGAAACACGATTATGACCTGTCGTGTAATAAAGACTTTTATAATATGCATTGTCGATCATTTGGCTGAGATGAATCTTGTTGAGATTTCTGGACCACGGGAAAGAGCAATGAATGATCTGTGGAAAATGAAGGAATTCTCCAGTTGGTTTTTGAAATACTTTGTGCCACAGAGAGAGTAGGGTTTAAAACAGGGGTCTTCCAACTTGGCCCTTTTATGACTGGTGGACTTCAGCTCCCAGAATTCCTCAGCCAGGCACACGTGCCTGGCTGAGGAATTCTGGGAGCTGAAGTCCACCAGTCATAAAAAGGCCAGGTTGGAAGACCCCTGTGCTAGAGGGTGCAGTAAAAAAAGTAAGCAGGCAAGGGTGCTGGGAGACTGGGATGCCTATTCCATCACCTTGACAAGAAGTGACATGGATGTGTGGGTGGGAAGTTGTTCTCTGTGTGGGCAATAAAAAATTAGCTACCGGTTCTGCTGAACTGGTGCCAACCGGCTAAATCCCACCACTGCTTATAACCATCATGATGTACAATGGAAATTCTGGACTGTGTTAAGGCCGTTAAGTTGAGGGTTAATTGTAGTGGTTTAGGCACCAGCCTAGAAATGAGAAGACCCGTAAGTTTTAGTCCCACTTTATGCACGAAGCCAGCTGAATGATTTTGGGCCAGCCTCTCTTTCACAGCCCTTAAAAGCAGGCAATGGCAAACTCCTTCTGCAAAGGTGGCCCAGAAAAATGGCAGGCAGTTGCCAGGAGTAATGCAAAGGCAGAAAATAATTAAAGTCACACTAACGCCAAAATAAAAATAAAAATAAAAAATAAACCCCAAATTCCTTTGTTCCAACCAGGGCAAATATTCACAGATATCAGAATGAGTGCATTTTTAATCCAGAGCCACTCCGCAGAGTATCTTACAATTTGTAATTGCTGAACCATTTCTTCTCGGTAGGCCAGCTCCCGCTTCATCTGATCTTGAAAATTATCTGCGCAAAAAAAAAGGACAAAAAAAGAGAAAAAGTACATGAATAGTTTTCTTGTTAATCACTGCCAATTCAATTCCCCCCCCCCCGCCCCAAAAAAGCTGCAGTTTGTTACTCTCTGGTAATTTTGCATTGAAAAAAAAATTGGTTACTGAAAAAAAAGCAGACCTGAATGTGCAGAGGTGTTAACCTTACATGAAACGAAGCATTTAAGCAATTATCCTTGGTCTATATACAAGTGGTCCTCGGTTAATGACTGTAATTGGGAGTGGATTTTCGGTCACTAGGCCAGGGGTAGGCAACCTTGGCTGTTTTATGACTGGTGGACTTCAACTCCCAGAATTCCTGAGCCAGCCATGCTGAGGGGAAAGGGAGAGGTTTCCAAGCTGAGCCAGGCTGGCTCAGGAATTCTGGGAGTTGAAGTCCACAAGCCATGAGGGGGGCATAGTTCCTCCATGCTGGCTCAGGAATTCTGGGAGTTGAAGTCCACCAGTCCTAAAAGAGCCAAGGTTGCCTACCCCTGGTCTAGACTCTAGGCCTAGGGTAGGGGTCATCAAACATGACCCTTTTATGACTCGTGGACTTCAACTCCCAGAATTCCTGAGCCAGCCATGCTGAGGGGAAAGGGAGAGGTTTCCAAGCCAAGCCGTGATGGCTCAGGAATTCTGGGAGTTGAAGTCCACCAGTCATAAAAGAGCCAAGGTTGCCTACCCCTGCACTAGGCAATGTGGCCGTAAAGCGTGATGTCACATGACTGCATTGCTTAGCAATGGCAATCCAGGCCCTCCCCATTGCCCTCATTAAGCGAGAATCATGCTTCGTTAAACAAAGACCCTCCTTGCAACTTTCTGCCAGCTTCTAGCAAGCAAAGTCACTGGGGAAGCCAGCAGGAAGTTGTAAGTCCCAGTTCACAAGCCTTCCCACAGGGAGGGAAGTAACTGCTACTGGGTGGGGGAAGGTGCACAATGGCTGCAGTGGCATGGTGAGCGATTTTAGGCCCAGGGTGATTGTTACTAAGTGGGGGAGACTTATTTGAATGATTTTCAACCTTTCCTGCTGGCTTCCCCACTGAGTCAAGCAACAGACCCTATACCAGGCATGTCAAACTCGCAACGTGACATGACGTCGCGGGACGTATCGCGACTTTTCCCCCATTGCCGGCAATGGGGTGGGTGCAGTTTCAGTGTGATGCATCCAGCCTGCGGGCTGGCAGTTTGACATGCCTGCCCTTATTAGACATACCCAATTCCAGCAGCCTTTCCTTATATGCTTTAGCCCCCTGATCATCTTTGTTGCTCTTCTCTGCACTCTTTCTAGAGAGTCTCAACATCTTTTTTTATATCGTGGTGACCAAAACTGGATGCCGTATTCCAAGTGTGGCCTTACCAAGGCCTTGTAAAGTGGTATTAATACTTCATGTGATCTTGATTCTCTCCCTCTGTTAATGCAGCCCAGCACTGTGTTGGCTTTTTGGGCAGCTCCAGCACACGGCTGGCTCCTATTTAAGGGATCGTCCACTAGGACTCCGAGATCCCTCTCACAGTTACTACTATTGAGCAAGGTACCCCCTATACTATATCTGTACATTTGGTTTTTCTTGCCTAAATGTAGAACCTTACTGTTTGGTATACTGTGTTCAAAGTGGTTAACATGCATTCCTCGTCCTAACCTTTACAACAACCTTGTTTATCTTGCCTTTTTTTTTTTAAAAAAAATGTTTCTTTGGGTTGACCTACGTGGTGCATTGTCTCTTTAAGGCTCTTGACTCAGCGAATGGGAGCCTATAAATTAGTTCCTTGGCTTTTTTTCTGATGATCCATTGTCCTCTGCTTTCTTTGTGTCCTTGGGTTTCTGATAATAAATGTTTCCTCCCTTGACAACGACAACGGGCAAAAGCTTGGGGAGGTGTTTTGTATCTGTGTAGCTCTACTACATTAACCAGAGGGAGATCTTGGTTAGATTTCTCTTACCGTGGCAGAGATTGAGCATCATAACCTTTGTTCTGTGACAATGTGAGCTTCTGTTTGTGTTTCACTCAAGCTGGGGAGAAGATACTTCTAATCAACAACCAAAAAAAGCTACCTTATTATAGAAAGTGGAAGAAAAAGATCTTTCAAAAAGATGTTGAGACTCTGGAAAGAGTGCAGCGAAGAGCAATAACGAAGATTAGGGGACTGGAGGCTAAAATATATGAAGAACAGTTGCTGGAATTGTGTATGTCCAATTTAATGAAGAGAAGGACGAGGGGGGACATGATAGCAATGTTCCAATATCTCAGGGCTGCCCCAAAGAAGAGGGAGTCAAGCTATTCTCCAAAGCGCCTGAAGGCAGGACAAGAAGCAACGGATGGAAACTCACCAAAGAGAGAAGCAACCAAGAACTAAGGAGAAACTTCCCGACAGTGAGAACAGTTGTGGCTGCTCCATCATAGAAGGTTTTAAGAAAAATGGACAGCCCTTTGTCTGAAATGGTGTAGGGCAGGGGTGTCAAACTCAATTTCATTGAGGGCCGCATCAGCATTGTGGTTGCCCTTGGGGGGCGGGTGTGTGTGTGTGTGTGTGTGTGTGTGGCCAGGTGGGTGTGGCCTACTGGGTGAGTGGATGGAGTGGGTGTGGCCTAATGGATCGGCATGGCCAGCACTACATCGTTCGCGTCAAGGGTGCCTGTGGGGGCCTGGGCAGGAGTGGGACAGATCTGAGGGTCTCTGGCAGAAGGGGGTGGGACTGGGACAAGCGCCAAGGCATGGTCCACTGGAGGAGCCTCACTGTTCCTCTCAGGCCATGTGGGGAGGGGGCTGGATGGTGGTGCGGCCTGCCGGGAGCCCTGATCAGCAGAGGTCACATGCCCAGCCTGGCCATCGAGCACCTGCGGCACCAAGCCCAGCCCCACTTCCCCAAGGGGGTGCCCAGCTACACTTACCTCTTCCTCAAGGCTGCTGCTGCTGTGCTTGCTCTCCTTAGCCAGGTGGCTCATGATGGGTACGAGGGCAAAGTCAGAGGGAGGCCCATTCCGTCTCCATGGAAGGAGACCCGGCTTTGTATCCAAAGCTTCCTTAGCAATAGGATGGGAGACCCCAGGATAGGTCAGGAGGAGGGGGCAAGGGGATGATGAAAGGGCAGCAGGGCAGGACTAAGGCAAGACTTCCCTCAGACCCTCCCTCTCCCTTCCTTCCTTCCTTCCTTCCTTCCTTCCTTCCTTCCTTCCTTCCTTCCTTCCTTCCTTCCTTCCTTCCTTCCTTCCTTCCTCCCTCCCTCCCTCCCTCCCATTTTTCCTTCCTTCCTCCCTTCCTCCCTTATTTCTTCTCCCTCACCTATCACTCCCTCCCTCCCCCCTTCCTTTTTTCCTTCCTTCCTTCCTTCCTCCCTCCCTCCCTCCCTCCCTCCCTCCCTCCCTCCCATTTTTCCTTCCTTCCTCCCTTCCTCCCTTATTTCTTCTCCCTCACCTATCACTCCCTCCCTCCCCCCTTCCTTTTTTCCTTCCTTCCTTCCTTCCTTCCTTCCTTCCTTCCTTCCTGAACAGAGTGGTGGGAAAATATTTGAGATGAGGGAGGGAGAAAAACAGGCACGAAATGCAGCTGGGGAGGTGTCACCCTTCGTGAGGAAGGAAGAAATGCACCATCGCCTGGAAGTGGCCAGCACATGGCTCTCACCTACTTCACCTATCTAGCTTGGTGGGCTCTGAGGGAGGGGATGCCATGAGCAGCGTGAGAGTCAACATTACCTGAGCAATGCCGCTCAGCCCTCAGCCTGCCCGGTCTCGGCAGGCAGCGACGTGTTCTCCTCACAGTGCCGAGAGGTTGAGCCGGGCGGTGCGAAGCTTGCTAGCTTTGCACCTTGCTGCCTGCTGAAACTGGGCAGGCTGGGGGTGAGGCAGCATTGCACTTCTCATTAGATTTGCGCCACCCGGCTCAGCCTCTCGGCGCTGTGAGGAGAGCGCCCCGCTGCCTGCCGAAACCCCTTCCCCAGAGCCCATCAAGCCAGATATGCGAAGTAGGCGAGGGCCATTTGCCGGCCACTTCCAGGCGATGGTGCATTTCTTCATTCCTCACAAAGGGTGACACCTTCCCAGCATCCACCCAGGGGACTGGACCGACGCGGCAGGGGCTGGTTCCTCGCTGTTTCTGGACGGCCTTGTGGAGCTAAGACTGAATGCGTTTCAGCATAGATGGCCACCTCAAAATTGTACATTGGCTCCTGGCCAGCCTGGGCCAGGGCCAAGGTAGTGGGGGCCGTTCCCTCACTGTTTCCAGGATGGCTTCACAGGCCACATGAAAGCACTTCGCAGGCCGCATCCAGCCCCCGGGCCTTGTGTTTGACATGTCTGGTGTAGGGTCTCCTGATTGAGCAGGGGGTTGGACTAGATGACCTCCAAGGTCCCTTCCAACTTTATTATTATTATTATTATTATTATTATTATTATTATTATTATTATTGTTATTATTGTTGTTGTTGTTGTTATTATTATTATTATTATTATTATTATTATTATTATTATCGATCATCGCACAGTCAGCCAGATGTTCAGACTGGATTTGGCATTTTGTCTACCTATCGAGTCCGTACCCAGGACCTGGGATAGGCAGATGTGGAGGTTTGATGGTATTACAGATATCGTCGCAGGATGGAAGCAGTTCCTAGTAAGGCCGCCTTTTGCAATTGACTAATAGCGAATTTGTCAATGCCAGTGGTGTTCAAGTGGTGCTCCAGTTGTTTTGGGATTGCACCCAAGGCGCCTATGACTATTGGTACTACCCTTGCTTACTTTTGCCACAGTCTTTCTATTTCTATTTGTAGGTCTTTTTGTATTTTGTTATTCTGCTGTCTCCAGGCACTGCCACGTCCACTATCCAGACTTTTTTGTCTTTCTTATCAACAATTGTTAAGTCTGGGGTTATTATTATTATTATTATTATTATTATTATTATTATTATTATTATTATTATTATTAAGGTCCCTTCCAACTGTGTTATTCTTGGCTAGTATTAAAACAGGATATTTTAATACTCTGGACAATCTGTGTTCTTGAGCGATTATGGTTTGTCACGCAGCCAGATGTTTAGACTAGATCTGGCATTTTTATCCACCTGTCAAGTCCTTCCAAAGGACCTGGGATAGGGAGATATGTATGTTTGATGGTAGTAAAGTTATTGTCGGAAAATGTAAGCTGTTCTGAGCGAAGCTGCCTTTTTAAATTGACTGTGATTTTTTTTCAACGCTGATGGAGTTCCAGATGTTTTGGGATGGTACCCAAGGCACCCATCACTTTTGCTACCATCTTTGCTTTCTTTTGCCACAGCTGTTCTATTTCTATTTGCAGATCTTTATATTTTGATTTCCTCCAGTTCACATTAAACCATCGTAGTGATAGTGTGTTTGAGTGTGTCCCCTCTTGAAAATAACACAGGTATTTGTGCCAACGCTCCTAGATGTGTGACTGCAATACTCAAAAGGGTTAATTTAGACCATTGTCTGATGCTATGTCAACATTAAGAAAACCAAGATCATGGCATCCGGCCCTCTCAATTCCTGGCCAATAGATGGGGAAGAAATGGAGGTAGTGACAGATTTTATCTTCCTGGGCTCCAAGATCACCTCAGATGGGGACTGTAGCCAAGAAATTAAAAGACGCTTGCTCCTGGGGAGGAAAGCTATGGCAAATCTAGACCGCATACTAAAAAGCAGAGACATCACCCTGCCAACAAAAGTGTGTATAGTCAAGGCCATGGTTTTCCCAGGTGCAACGTATGGATATGAAAGTTGGACCATAAGAAAGGCTGAGCGCCAAAGAATGGAGGCCTTTGAACTCTGGGGCTGGAGGAGACTCCTGCGAGTCCCCTGGACTGCAAGGCGATCCAACCGGTCAGTCCTGGAGGAGATCAACCCCGACTGCTCTTTAGAAGGCCAGATCCTGAAGTTGAAACTCAAGGACTTTGGCCACCTAATGAGAAGGAAGGACTCACTGGAGAAGAGCCTGATGCTGGGAAAGATGGAGGGCAAGAGAAGAAGGGGACGACAGAGAAGGAGGGGGCTGGACGGAGTCCCTGAAGCAAGAGGCGTGAGCTTCAATGGACTCCAGAAGATGGTGGAGGACAGGAAGGCCTGGAGGAACGTTGTCCATGGGGTTGCGATGGGTCGGACACGACTTCACAACTAACCACAACAACTGATGCTATGAGATCTATATCTGATCATCCCGTTATTAGCCTCATTGGCTAAAGCTTCTGGGCGTTTTGCGGTTCAGCATTATCTCAAGTTCAACAAATTAAAAGCCAAAGGACAACATCTTACTGAAAACTGGGAATGAGGTGGTTCCTTTCAGCACTTGGAATTCCTGCTCAAGCCTTCTGCGCCAGTCGATCTGTTCAAATAAGACCTTCTGAAGCTCTTCTAGACCAAATAACGAAGAAGGAAAAAGAACAAAGAAAGAAAATGAATTTTGTGAGCATACGGACGTTTAGCCCCTAATGTTCACAATTATAAAGGGAAAAATACTTTTGGCCGCTTAAGGCTGGCTGCAACGTGCCTTGAGCAGCTTCGGATAGATTTTTGCGCAGAAATCTATGAATACAAATCAATGCAATATATTATTTTAAAGTATTCTAGCCCAGTGTCGTGTATTGATTGATACATATGCATTAATCTCAATTATAGCCACACAAAAGGCCCATATATTATTCATATGTTGCTTGTCAAGCTTAAAATATGATTGGGAATAAAAAAAAACATGTATTACCCTTAATTGTCTTGATATTCCGCTAAAACAAAAGTCAGCCTTACTAGGAGATTTGCAACTGTTTATAACAATCCCCCCACCCTTTTTTTTACCTTTTCCCATGTTTTCCATGTCCTTTTTCAGAGAATGGGGGGCACTGGGTTCTTGAATGGGGTCACCTGAATGAAAAGAGAATTTTTTCTATATTACTGAGTCATTTGTACAGCAAACAAACAGGACAAGGCACGGATTTTGACGGAGAGTAACAATGGCAGAAAAAAACAGTCGCAACCAGCCTGCTTTCCATGGAGGACCTGCACACTGCATGAACCAGAAAAGGGGCTGAGAAAATATCTACAAACATCCTGGACATAAAATGTTTCAGCTTCTCCCCTCTGGATGCCACTTTGGGCATTGAATGCCAAAACAATTAGACACATAGTTGTCCCCCCCCCCGTGCCATCACTCCACTGAACAGCTAATTTCTGGAGCACTGTCTTAGGCCTCAAGATATTTACCCATGTAGTAGGGTTGATTTGCTATTATCCTTCTCACCTTCTCATCTTTTCTCATCTTTCCTACTACCTTCTTCTGTTGGTATCTATGATTTATGACTTGTTGTTGTAGCTTATGCTTAATGTTTGTAACTATGATCTCTGTTGTCTGTATGTACACTGAGAGTTTATGCGTCAGAGACGAATTCCTTGTGTGTCCAGTCACACTTGGCCAATAAAGAATTCTATTCTATTCTATTCTATTCTATTCTATTCTATTCTATTCTATTCTATTCTATTCTATTCTTTCTCCTATTCTATTCTATTCTATTCTATTCTATTCTATTCTATTCTATTCTATTCCATTCTATTCTACTCTACTCTACTCTACTCTACTCTACTCCACTCCACTCCACTCCATTCTCTCTCTCTCTCTCTCTCTCATCTATCATCTATGTATCATCTATCTATCATCTGTCTGTCTATCTGCCTGCCTGCCTGCCTGCCTGTCTGCCTATCTATCTATCTATCTATCTATCTATCTATCTATCTATCTATCTATCTATCTATCTATCTATCTATCTATCTATCTATCTATCTATCTATCTATCTATCTATCTACAGTATCTACCTATCTATCTACCTCTATCTCTATCTATCTACCATCTACCTACCTACCTATGTCTGTCTATCTATCTATCTATCTATCTATCTATCTATCTATCTATCTATCTATCTATCTATCTATCTATCTATCTATCTATCTATCTATCTATCTATTTAGCAATTATACAATGGAGAATACTAAACCATCAGCTCAAGACTCAAACCTACTCTGAGGCAATCTGCAGCAGTTTCTTCTTTCTAATGTTATAATATTGCATCTTACTGGATACAAGACAGGTTGTCCTTGACTTATTAACACAATTGCAACCAGAATGTCTGTTGCTAAGCAAACCGGTTGTTAAGTGAGTTGCGGCCAATTTCACATCTTTTTGCCATGGTTCTTAAGCCACGTCCCTGCGGTTGTTAAGTGAATCCTGTGGTCGTTCAGCGAACCTGGCTCCTCCCCTTGACTTTGCAGGTCAGACGTTGGTCGGGAAGGTCAAAAATGGCGTTCATTGACCTTGGGATGCCATAACCGTCCTAAGTACATGCTAGTTTCCAAGCATCTAGATTTTAATCATGTGACCAGAGAGGTGCTGGGATGGTCCTAAGCATGAGGACTGGGTCTAAGTCCTTTTTTCAGTGCTGTTGTAACTTTGAACAATCACTAAACAAATGGTTGTAAGCCCGGGACTTCTGGTAGATGTAAGCAGACTGCTCAGTACAATATCATACGCTAGTATTAAGGCTAGAGTTTTTTAATTAATGAAATTGGTGGATTAATCCATTAGAGTCTGAATAACTAGTGAAGGGCAATGTTCGTTAACTGCTGCTGTGAGTCACAAACATATTTTTGGCTCACAAAGAGAAGCTCTCTCTAATGTGTTATAATTATAAACAAAAGGAAACGCTCAATAATTACTGGGTATTCCTCTGTTTTTTTAAATAATGGATGCCTGTTTTGTTTATTAAATTCTAAAATTATCTTACGTTTCCATCACTTCATGGTACAAAATGGCCTTCCTCTTGAAGTTTGGCAATATATATTTAAATATAATTGATGGAGTAATTAAAAGGAAGATGCTTAATCAACTGGAAGTTGTTAATGGGTTGGCAGCTCATATTTCAACGAATATGAAAGATATGAAATTTCCTTCCTGTCTCCCAGAGCCTCAATTAACGTCTTCCTTCTTTCAGGTGGAAAAGATTCACAAGGGGTTAGGAGAACCACACATCAAAGGATAACGGTGGAGAAAAATACAACTAATTTTTGAAGCAACAAGGAACCGTCTATCACACCAAACAATAATTTTAACCATTGGTCCGAGTAACATGATAGATGATAGATGATAGATGATAGATAAATAGATAAATAGATAAATAGATAGGTAGATAGATAGATAAAGATAAATAGATAGATAGATGATAGATAGATAGATGATAGATAAAGATAGATGATAAGTAGATACATGAAGATAGATAAATAGATGATAGATAGATAAAGATAGATAGATATATGAAGATAGAAATAATAATAATAATAATAATAATAATAATAATAATAATAATAATAATAATAATAATAATAATATGACAAAGTAGCAACAATGGTGCATTGGAAGATCTGCAAAAAATATCATTTGCCTGTAAGCAAAAACTGGTGGGATCATAAAATAGAGAAAGTCATAGAAAATGATAAATTAAACTGCTCTGGGACTTCAGAATTCAAACAGACAAGCACCTGCAACATAACACCCCAGACTTAACAATTGTTGATAAGAAAGACAAAAAAGTTTGGATAGTGGACGTGGCAGTGCCTGGAGACAACAGAATAGACGAGAAAGAACTGGAGAAGATAACAAAATACAAAGACCTACAAACAGAAATAGAAAGACTGTGGCAAAAGCAAGCAAGGGTAGTACCAATAGTCATAGGTGCCTTGGGTGCAATCCCAAAACAACTGGAGCACCACTTGAACACCATTGGCATTGACAAATTTGCTATTAGTCAATTGCAAAAGGCGGCCTTATTAGGAACTGCTTCCATCCTGCGACGATACCTGTAATACCATCAAACATCCACATCTGCCTATCCCAGGTCCTGGGTAAGACTCGATAGGTAGACAAAATGCCAAATCCAGTCTGAACATCTGGCTGACTGTGCGATGATCGATAATAATAATAGCTTTATTGTCATTGAATGTGTATACACAGTGTACACATACAACAAAATTTACATGACACCCAAAGACCAGCTCCCACAGACATAATCCCCAAACACACTCCCACACACCCCTAAAACCACCCAAAACATCCACCCAACAGACCAAGTAATACTGTCCAACAGTTCACTGATGGTGGCCCTTTAGTTCATTATTGAGTGCAATTACAGCAGATGATAGATAAAGATAGATAGATACATGATACATAAATAGCTAGCTAGCTAGCAAGATGATAGATAGCTAAAGCGATAGCTAGATAGAAGATAGACAGATAGATACAGGTAGGTAGGTAGGTAGGTAGAGAGAGAGAGAGAGAGAGAGAGGGATGATAGATACATGATAGATACATAATAGATCTGAAGTCCACCAGTCATAAAAGAGCCAAGGTTGCCGACCCCTGTCTAGACCAGGGATCTGCAACCTTGGACAACTTTAAGACTTGTGGACTTCAACTCCCAGAATTCCTGAGTCAGTATGCTGGTTCAGGAATTCTGAGTATTGAAGTCCAGGAGTCATCAAAGAGCCACGGTTGCCTGCCCCTGTACTGTGGGGATGCCGTAAGAGACGTAAGTGTGAAAAATGGTGATAAGTCCCTTTTTTTCAGTAACTCTGAACAGTCACTAGACCAGTGTTTCTCAACCTTGACCATTTTAAGGCATGTGGACTTCAACTCCCAGAATTCCACAGCCAGCAATGCTGGCTGTGGAATTCTGGGAGTTGAAGTCCACATGCCTTAAAATGGTCAAGGTTGAGAAACACTGCACTAGATGAATAGTTGTAAGTCCAGAACTACTATATATCTCCTTCTCTATTGCTTTTGAACGTCACTGTTACTATTTATTATTACTTATTAAATTTATACATTGTCCATCTCACAATTCGAGGCAACTCGGGGCAGCTCACCCCCATGACAAATTCACTTTGGTTTTGCAACTCACAGTGGATTCTACTGTGAAAAACGTCTATGGGGATTCCGTGACCCTGGGAGAAACCATTGTAAGACCCTTTTTTTTAGTGCGGTTGTAACTAAACCACCGTTCTAACTCGAGGACTACCTGCATTGAGTTGGGATGACCAGCAATATAAGTCCGCAGAAATCCTTCAGTCCTCTTACTTGATTCTTTTCTAACTGGATATGCCAGAAATTGAACTGGGATCTTCTATGTGGAGGGGGCACAGAATAGGAGTCTTTCAGTATCTCAGGGGTTGCCCCAAAGAAGAGGGAGTCAAGCTATTCTCCAAAGCGCCTGAAGGCAGGACAAGAAGCAACGGATGGAAATTCATCAAGGAGAGAAGCAACCTGGAACTACGGAGAAACTTCCTAACAGTTTAAACAATTAACCAGTGGAACTACTTGCCTCCAGAAGTTGTGAATTCTCCAACATTGGAAGTTTTTAAGAAGAGACTGGACAGCCATTTGTTTTTAAATGGTATAAGGTTTCCTGCCTGAGTAGGGGGCTGGACTAGATTAGCTCCAAGGTCCCTTCCAGCTCTATTCTATTCTATTCTATTCTATTCTATTCTATTCTATTCTATTCTATTCTATTCTATTCTATTCTAATTAACCAATGGAACAACCTGCCTCCAGAAGCGGTGAATGCTCCAACACTGGAAGTTTTTAAGAAGAAACTAGACAGCCACTTGTCTGAAATGGTACAGGGTTTCCTGCCTGAGCAGGGGGTTGGATTAGATGGCCTCCAAGGTCCCTTCCAACTGTATTATTATTATTATTGTTGTTATTGTTTTTGTTTTTATTTTTATTACTTATAACTACAACTGAGCCCAGAATTTATGTTGCTAAGTGGGAAATTTGTTAAGTGAGTTTTTGCCCCATTTTATGACGTTTCTTACCAGAATTGTTAAGTCGATCGCTGCAGTTGTTAAGCTAGTACCACGGTTGTTAAGTGACTCTGGCTTCCCCATTGATTTTGCTTCTCAAAAGGTCACAAAAGGTAATAATAATAATAATAACAACAACAACAACAACAACAACAACAATAATAATAATAATAATGTTGGAAGGGACCTTAGAGGTCATCTAGTCCAACCCCCTGCTCAGGCAGGAAACCCTATACCATTTCAGACAAACGGCTGTCCAGTCTCTTCTTAAAAACCTCCAGTGTTGGAGAAGGGAGGGAGGGAAGGAGAAAGGAAGGAAGGAAGGAAGGAAGGAAGGAAGGAAGGAAGGAAGGAAGGAAGGAAGGAAGGAAGGAAAAAAAATTAGAAACTTGGAAGGGACCTTGGAGGTCATCTAGTCCAACCCCCTGCTCAGGCAGGAGACCCTATACCATTCCAGACAAAGGGCTGTCCAGTCTCTTCTTAAAGACTTCCAGTGTGGGAACATTCACAGCTTCTGGTGGCAGGTCGTTCCGCTGATAGGCAGGTCATTCCCCTGATCACATGACCCCGGGACACTGCGACCGTCACGAGCCAATTGCCAAATTTTGATCCTGTACTACGGGGATGCTGAAAATGTGTGAACAATGGTCGTCAGTCACTTTTTTCAGCCCCGTTCTGACTTCGAACTGTCCTAGGATGAAAGGATTGAAAGTCGAGGACTACTGTATGTCTCCTCCTCTATTGTCTTTGAACATTTTATTTATGATCACTTATTAAATTTACATGCTGTCCACCTCACAGCTGGAGGCAACTCTGAACGGCTCACCCACCATGACGAATTCACTTTGGTTTCGCCACTTATGTCGCCATAAATGCAGTAATTGTTCTCGCGCTGCTAGACTCTTCACAAGCTCACGTTACTATCTTGTGCAACTGGGGGACAGCAGTGCGATAACGGGCAGAACGCGTGGCGTTCCACCTCCAAAAGGCAAGTATCCATCTCAATCTAGGGCTGCACAAACACGACACGGGATGTCTGGGGAGATTCTTGGTCATCATTGTCTCAAAGGTGCTTATTTTTTTTATTCCAAAGGCAACTGGGTTGCTTTTCTTTCCTGACGTTTCGCTTCTTATCCAAGAAGCTTCACCAGTCCACCAGTCATCAAGGGGGCCGTAGTTCCCCCATGCTGGCTCAGGAATTCTGGGAGTTGAAGTCCATGAGTCATGAAGGGGCCATAGTTCCCCCATGCTGGCTCAGGAATTCTGGGAGTTGAAGTCCAAAAGTCATGAAGGGGCCATAGTTCCCCCATGCTGGCTCAGGAATTCTGGGAGTTGAAGTCCACCAGTCATCAAGGGGCCATAGTTCCCCCATGCTGGCTCAGGAATTCTGGGAGTTGAAGTCCACCAGCCATCAAGGGGGCCGTAGTTCCCCCGTGCTGGCTCAGGAATTCTGGGAGTTGAAGTCCACAAGTCATGAAGGGGCCATAGTTCCCCCATGCTGGCTCAGGAATTCTGGGAGTTGAAGTCCACCAGTCATCAAGGGGCCATAGTTCCCCCATGCTGGCTCAGGAATTCTGGGAGTTGAAGTCCACCAGCCATCAAGGGGGCCGTAGTTCCCCCATGCTGGCTCAGGAATTCTGGGAGTTGAAGTCCACCAGCCATCAAGGGGGCCATAGTTCCCCCATGCTGGCTCAGGAATTCTGGGAGTTGAAGGCCATCAGTCATCAAGGGGGCCGTAGTTGGAAGAGAAAAAAACCACCTTTGAGATAAAATGGGATGATGGTTAAACCAACAGAAAAAAAAAGAGGGAGAGTATGTGATGACTCCGTAAGCTTTCGACCACATCCGTTGTGTCTCTTGAAGCAGCCCCCTGATCCTCAAAAGCTTACTACCATCTAAGTAGAATTAAAACCTTGCAAACTCTCAGATGTGTTTCTGTGTGCCTTAATGTAGCGGATCTCAGAGAAATAGGTCAGGCAGACAGATGATAAATATCCGGGACGGTGTTTCTGATTTCAATAAAGGAGAATATTCACAGCTCAGGGTTGATGTGAGGGGGGTCCTGGGTGAGTTTGCTTGTTTTCTTGCAGATGTTTCATTACTGAAGTAGGTAAACATCACTGATGATGTTACCTACTTTGGGTAAGAAAACATCTGCAAGAAAACAAGCAAGGTCAGAGAGCATCCAGCATGCCTTGTTTCTGATTTTGACCCAGGCTTTAGTTTATCATCACTTGCCACGCAAGAAATTAAGCGACACCTCCAGTCACCTTAATAATTCCCTCCATAACATTTTTGATACTTAATATTTTTGCATCTTATGATTTATAATTGATCACTTTGTTGCTTGTATGTACACTGAGAGTTTCTGCACTGGAGACAAATTCTGTGTATGTCCAATCACCCTTGACTAAGAAAAGAATATTCTATTCTATTCTATTCTATTCTATTCTATTCTATTCTATTCTATTCTATTCTATTCTATTCTATTCTAATCTATTCTATTTTTATTCCATTCTATTTCCATTCTATTCTATTCTATTCTATTCCTATATTTTCTTTATTCTATTCTATTTCTATTCTATTCTATTCTATTCTATTTTTATTCCATTCTATTTCCATTCTATTCTATTCTATTCTATTCTATTCTATTCTATTCTATTCTATTCTATTCTATTCCTATATTTTCTTTATTCTATTCTATTTCTATTCTATTCTATTCTATTCTATTTTTATTCCATTCTATTTCCATTCTATTCTATTCTATTCTATTCTATTCCTATATTTTCTTTATTCTATTCTATTCTATTCTATTCTATTCTATTCTATTTTTATTCCATTCTATTTCCATTCTATTTCTATTCTATTCTATTCTATTCTATTCTATTCTATTCTATTCTATTCTATTCTATTCTATTCCTATATTTTCTTTATTCTATTCTATTTCTGTTCTGTTCTATTCTATTCTATTTTATTCTATTCTATATTTTCTTTATTCTATTCTATTCTATTTTTATTCCATTCTATTTCTATTTCTATTCTATTCTATTCTATTCTATTCTATTCTATTCCATTCCTATATTTTCTTTATTCTATTCTATTTCTGTTCTATTCTATTCTATTCTATTCTATTCTATTCTATTCTATATTTTCTTTATTCTATTCTATTTTTATTCCATTCTATTTCCTTCTATTTCTATTCTATTCTATTCTATTCTATTCTATTCTATTCTATTCTATTCTATTCTATTCTATTCTATTCTATTCCTATATTTTCTTTATTCTATTCTATTTCTATTCTATATTTTCTTTATTCTATTCTATTCTATTCTGTTCTGTTCTCCATTCCATATTCTATTCTATTCTTTTCTATTCTGTTCTGTTCTGTTCTGTTCTATTCTATTCTATATTTTCTTTATCCTATTTTATTCCATTCCATTCCATTCCATATCCTATCCTATTCTCCCGCACCTCGTTCTAACGTCCATTTCTCTTCTGATCATCCTTTCACTTTATTTAGAAGGCTACCGTTTCCTCTGTCCCCTTCTTCTTTCAGACTTTTTTTTTTAAACTAAAAAAAAATCGGGAAAAACCTTCCCTACAATGCATTCCTGGGCCTGCCATAACCCCAGGTTTCTACAACCTGGAGGAAGGTTTGTTTGGTGTTTGCAATTCCGAGTTTGCAAATGTTTTCCTCCTGGTTTTACGCACAAGATTTGAGACCCCAATTTTTGCAACTGCTTTCCATCCTCTCTCTCTCTCTCTCTCTCTCTTTCTCTCTCTCTCTCTTTCACTCTCTCTGGCTTGCTTTCTCTGTCTCATTTGACAGGCAAATTTGCAGACGTAGCCCGAGGATAACAACCTCGTTTGACAGTCAATTAACCGTGAATAGTCAAAGCCGAGACAGTTTGCATTACATAAATGGGAAATTACATTCCTCCCCCCTTCTTTTTTTTTTTTTTTTTTCCCCTGTCTCTCCTGAAACAAAACCTCCTTTCCTTGCAGCCCTCCCTGGCCAATACCCAACTTAGTATCAAAACTTCTAATCATGTTTTTTTCCCCCTCCCCTCCTTCCTTCCTTCCTTCCTCCCTTCCTCTCCTCCGCAAAAGCCTTGGAGACATTTAGCAATCAGTAAAAGGTGGTTCCATTTAATTTGTATAATGTAATTTTTGTCAATGTATTATACATTTTGTGTAGAGATCATTATCACGGAGATAATATAAATGTTGCCTTAGATCTCATAAAACACCTTTAATGTCTCTCTGACAGATATTAAAAGCAATAAGCTGTGATCCTTTTTAATGGAAGGTTTCAAAGAGAACATTTCAATTATTGTCATTTTATGCTGTTTTTTCTCTCTCCCCCCCCCCCCCTCAAACCCCCGTTCCCAGCCTGCTCCATTGTGCAACCTGATACATTTCCGGAAATTTCTTGCTAAAATAGGACCTGCAATTAATATTCTTATTGCTATCAACACAGCGTTACCCCCGCTTATATTTGTACTTTTCCCCTTAGTTATTCTATCTATTAAGGAGCATTCTAATTTTGGGGGGGTGGGGGTGGGGAGGGAAAAAAATAAAAGAAACCCTACAAAATATTCAGTCACTTGATTAAGAATTTGCAAGACGGGGGTCTGTGCATGCCAAGTAGGGAACAGACACAGTGTGAATCGGTAGGCTTACTTTGAAGTAAACATGCCGATCGGAGTTCTGGGTTCGAATCCTGATCCCCCGCTCCTTTTCGACACCCACCTGCTATATTTGTCCAGAAGTCTCCTGGATGTTCAGCGTCGGTGATGAAAAAGCTGTGCTCCTTGTTCTTATCTAAAGAGAAAGAAGACGAGGAACAAAACGGTAAATATTGCCCCAAAACGCAGAAATCTCCAATAGATATTCAGAATGAGAGAGCTGTCATACCGGTAAGTCCCTGACTTATAACATTTCATTCAGTGACCGTTCAAAGCTACAACGGCACTGAAAACAGTGACTTAAGGGCGTTTTTCACACTTAACGACCGTTGCAGAGTCACGTGATCAAAATTCGGAGGCTTCGCAACTGACTCATCTTTACGACGGTCGCAGTGTCCCGGGTCATGGAAATCCCTTTTTGCAAAGTCAACAGATTGACTTAACCACCGGGTTAGTAACTTAACCCCTGCAGTGATTCACTTCAACGACGGTGGCGACAAACATCATAAAACGGGGCAAAACGCAACCTTAAAAGCTGCCTTGTTTAGCAACAGAAATTTGGGGCTGTAAGTCATGGGCTACCTGTATTATTACATTGCTGATGTCTTATTCTTGGCCTACTGACCATGTTCGTGTGACACCCTTACTCAGATTGTGGGATTAGAAATGGGGAGGGGGGGTTATATCGGCACAGCAAGGATGAACAGGACTGTCCACCAGGGCAGGGTCAGGAAAGTCAAGATGGCGGCCATGATGGCGCCATCACTGTGCCTCCGGAGGTTGTGTGTGCTCCTTCACTGGAGGAGCATCCACAAAAAGAAGGATTCAGACAACCATTTGCCCAGAATGGTATAGGGCAGAGGTAGGCAACCTTGGCTCTTTTATGACTGGAGACTTCAACTCCCAGAATTCCTGAGCCAGCATGGAGGAACTATGGCCCTTTCATGGCTTGTGGACTTCAACTCCCAGAATTCCTGAGCCAGCATGGGGGAACTACGGCCCCCTTGATGACTGGTGGACTTCAACTCCCAGAATTCCTGAGGCATCATGGAGAACCATGGCCTCCTTGATGACTTCTGGACTTCAAACTCCCAGAATTCCTGAGCCAGCATGGGGGAAACTTTGGCCCCTTCATGACTCATGAACTTCAACTCCCAGAATTCCTAAGCCAACATGGCTCAGCTTGGAAGCCTCTCCCTTTCCCCTCAGCATGACTGGCTCAGGAATTCTGGGAGTTGAAGTCCACGAGTCATAAAAGAGCCAAGGTTGCCTACCCCTGGTATAGGGTTTCCTGCCTGAGCAGGGGGTTGGACTAGATGACCTCCAAGGTTCCCTTCCCTCCCTTTTTCTGTATTTTGTATCTTGACTTGATTCGGCCAGGCCCTGTGGATAACCCTGCTGAGTGTGGCTAGGGTTAATCTTGGTTAATCTTGTCAACACGTCTGCTATAGGCAACTGACTTAGAGCACCCCACAAACGAAGGTCATTCGATCAGAAAGGGGTTGCTCTCGCACGAACCCCAAAAATGGGTCCATTCTGTGATGTGATTAGGGCATCTTACGAAGGCAACTATTATCAGGCTAGGTTTCTCTTCTTGTAGCTCTCTTCCTCTCTCATTTTCCCATTAAATATAAATTAGATCCAGACAGAAAATAGCTCTATTCGTCTATAGAAGAGAGAAAGACAGAAGCTAGCTATCAATAAATTAAAAAAAAGGGGGGATGGGGAGAACACATTTCTCTAGCTCAGTGGTTCTCAACCTTTTTAATGCCGCGACCCCCAACCGGTCGTAAGTCGAGGACTACTCAACCGGTCGTAAGTCGAGGACTACTCGACTGGTGCAGCACCGTTTGCAGACTGGGACTTTTGGCGGGCTTAGCAGGGCAGAGACAGCCTGGACAATTCCTATTGGCTTTTGAAAGCCAATAGAATTAGACTCTAGTCAAGAGAGTCTATTCTATTGGCTTTCAAAAGACAATAGAATAAAAGGGAGTAGCACAGCTAAGGAAAAGAGAGAAAAAATGGCAGACTGCGTTGTTTGGCGACCCCCGTGAAATGGTCGTTCGACCCCAAATGGGGTCCCGACCCACAGGTTGAGAACCACTGCTCTAGCTGCAAGAAACATGTTCAAAGATGGGACACAAATAGAAAAATATATCTTTTTTTTCCTAAGTGCCTTGATATAATTGTTCCTCACCCCCACCCCATAGACGCACGATGCACATATACGTATACACATGCACAAGCACATGTTGTTTGAGGTTCAGCATCTTGACACTGAGGTTTTTCAGGAACTACACAGCAGGAGCAAAATAGTGTGGGGGTCTATTTTAGGGGAGGCCAGTCCATGTTGCGCCCCCCCCCCCACCGACTTCAGTCCAGAGTGGAAACACAATGGGAATCTGTTGCATTGCCTTGCCTGAAAAATGGTCTTCCTTGGAAGAAACGCTGACGGGGTGGGCTTCTTTGTTTTTCGGGATCTGCCAGCGTGGGAAGAAATGAACAACAAACAAAAATTAGAAGGGGGGAACGGGGGGGAGGAGAAGGAAGGAAACAGTCTCCCACCCGCAATTCAGTTGGTGAACAATTCGTAGTAGCCAAAGAACATTTGTAGGATGTGTGTATGTGTGAGGGGGGAGCAGAGGGAGGGAGAAGAACACATCCATTCCAGCCTAAATCTCAGATCAAGAATTGTGATTGCTTTAATTGGGAGACAGGGTCATTTCTTAGCATCAGCTAGCTAGAGTGACAGGTCAACATACACTCAACTTAGAACAATTCACCAGTGGAACAACCTGCCACCAGAAGCTATGAATGCTCCAACACTGACTGGACAGCCCTTTGTCTGAAATGGTCTAGGGTTTCCTGCCGGAGCAGGGGGTTGGACTAGATGACCTCCAAAGTCCCTTCCAACTCTGTTATTCTGTTGTCCTTCCTTCCTTCCTTCCTTCCTTCCTTCCTTCCTTCCTTCCTTCCTTCCTTCCTTCCTTCTTTTGTCCCACCCACCCTCCCTCCCCCCCTTCTCCAACACTGGAAGTTTTTAGGAAGAGACTGGACAGCCATTTGTCTGAAATGGTAAAGGGTTTCCTGGCTGAGCAGGGGGTTGGACTAGATGACCTCCAAGGTCCCTTCCAACTTTATTATTATGGATCATCGCACAGTCAGCCAGATGTTCAGACTGGATTTGGCATTTTGTCTACCTATCGAGTCCTTACCCAGGACCTGGGATAGGCAGATGTGGATGTTTGATGGTATTACAGATATCGTCGCAGGATGGAAGCAGTTCCTAATAAGGCCGCCTTTTGCAATTGACTAATAGCGAATTTGTCAATGCCAATGGTGTTCAAGTGGTGCTCCAGTTGTTTTGGGATTGCACCCAAGGAGCCTATTACTATTGGTACTACCCTTGCTTGCTTTTGCCACAGTCTTTCTATTTCTATTTGTAGGTCTTTGTATTTTGTTATCTTCTCCAGTTCTTTCTCTTCTATTCTGCTGTCTCCAGGCACTGCCACGTCCACTATCCAGACTTTTTTGTCTTTCTTATCGACAATTGTTAAGTCTGGGGTGTTATGTTGCAGGTGCTTGTCTGTTTGAATTCTGAAGTCCCAGAGCAGTTTAATTTTATCATTTTCTATGACTTTCTCTATTTTATGATCCCACCAGTTTTTGCTTACAGGCAATGATATTTTTTGCAGATCTTCCAATGCACCATTGTTGCTACTTTGTCATGCCGCTGCTTGTAGTCAGTCTGTGCAATCTTCTTGCAACAGCTTACCAAGTGGTCCACTGTTTCTTCAGCTTCTTTGCATAGGTGGTCGTGGTTGTTGTTGTTGTTGTTGTTGTTGTTGTTGTTATTATTATTATTATTATTATTATTATTATTATTATTATTATTATTATTATTATCTTGTAACCTAACTTACAAGTCAATAGGTATGAAGGGTGGCAATAGGGTTGCCTTTTGAGCAGAATATAAATCTCACTAAGGTCAGCGGGGATCTTTATTTTTTTAACTGAAAAAGATCCACTTCAAATATTTCCCGCCCTCAGTGTACTAGGATTTATGCTGTAATGGGATGTGAGAATGACCTTGGGAAGTGGTGCAAGAGGGGAAGATATAAGGATAATCAGATAAAAGATGGCACAGCCCACAACTGCGTGTAACAGGCAGAGAAAGAGAATCAGAAAAGATTCTCTCTAACCTATCAGTCTGTAAAGGAAAAGCGGGAGATTTGTACTTTCAGCCTTACAAGATTCTACTAATGTAGCCTTACAATACAATAGAGCTAGTTCAAAAAAGACGTTGAGACTTCGGAAAAAGTTCAGAAAAGAGCAACTAAAATGATCCAAGGCCTGGAGACTTACGAAGAACAGCTGCAGGACTTGGGTTTGGCTAGTCTAAAGAAAAGAAGAAATAGGGGAGACATGAAAGCAGAGTTCCAGTATTTGAGGGGCTGCCACAAAGAAGAGGAGGGGGTCAAGCTATTCTTCAAAGCACCAGAGGGAAAGACGAGAAACAACAGTTGGAAACTGACCAAGGAGAGAAGCAACCTGGAATTAAGGAGAAACTTCCTGACAATGAGGATAATTAACCAATGGAACAGCTTGCCACCAGAAATCGTGGGCGCTTCATCGCTGGAAGTTTTTAAAAAGAGACTGGACAATCACTTGTCTGAGATGATATAGGTTCTCCTGCTTGAGCAGGGGGCTGGACTAGAAGACCTCCAAGGTCCCTTCCAGATTCTTTTCTGTTCCATTCTCCATTCCATATTCTATTCTATTCTATTCTATTCTATTCTATTCTATTCTATTCTATTCTATTCTATTCTATTCTATTCCATTTCATTACATTACATTCATTACATTTTTTCTATTCTATTCTATTCTATTCTATTCTATTCAATTTGTTACATTTTTTCTATTCTATTCTATTCTATTACATTACATTACATTACATTTTTTCTATTCTATTCTATTCTATTCTATTCTATTCTATTCTTTCTATATTTTCTATTCTATTCTATTCCATTCATTACATTTTTTTCTATTCTATTCTATTCTATTCTATTCTATTCTATTCTATTCTATTCTATTCTATTCCATTCCTTGGGGAAACACAGGTTAAGAAACAGAGTGTCGCTTAGTGTGACATTCGCTTAATTCGTTGTACGATGTGAACTCAGCCAGGGAGATGCTTCTCATTTACATCAAGATGGCGTTCTTAATATATTGGGATTGTTTTTCCCGTAACACAGGTAGCCCTACACCGCCAAGAGCCCAAAATGTCTGCTGCCAAGTGACACAGTTATCCCAAAGATGCGTTTTCCAGGAGGCAAGTTGGACTTCCTTTTTTTTTCTTTGAAGACGTTTCGCTTCTCATCCCAGAAGCTTCTTCAGCTCTGACTGAAGAAACCATTGCACCACCATTCCAGCCAGAGCTGAAGAAGCTTCTTGGGATGAGAAGCGAAACGTCTTCAAAGAAAAAACAAGAAGAGTCCAGTTGCCTCCTGGAAAAAGCAACTTTGGGGCAACCAGGACCCAGATGACTGAGCATCTGCATAGACAAGTGAAACAGCTGTTCCGTGAGTTTTGCTCCATTTTATGACCTTTCTCGCTCCAGTTGTTAAGTGCATCGCTACAGTGGTTAAGTTAGCAATACTGTTGTTAAGTGGATAAGGCTTCCCCATTGATTTTGCTGGTCAGAAGGTGGCGATCACGTGACCCCGGGACAGGGCCACCGTCACAAATACATGTCAGTGGCCAAGCCTCCTAATTTTGATCACAGGGAGGCTGCAACGGCCAAAAAACAGCCATACGTTCCTTTTTTTCCACTCCCAGCTTCGAACAAATGGTTGTACGTCATTTTACTCTCCGAGTTCTGGGGCCTGCAAAATGCTGCCGTCTTTTCCAAATCATTTCATATTTCCCCAAGTGGCTGAAAATCTGCTCTCCCTCCCCCCCCCCCCCACATGTCAGACCTGGAAGACTAAAGTCTTCAAACATGGCTGCCTGGCTGAGGAATTCTGGGAGTTGAAGTCCACCAGTCATAAAAGGGCCAAGTTTGAAGGCCCCTGGTCTGGATCCGAGCCCACAGTTTCATCAAAATGGCCGACTGAGGAATCCTGGGAGGTGAAGTCCACCAGTCATCAAAGGGCCACGTTGGAAGACCCCTGATGTACATCAGTGTTTCTCCATCTCAGGAACTTTTAAGACATGTTGACTTCAACTCCCAGAGTTCCAAAGCTGGCACGCATCCATTCAAATAGCATTCTGGGAGTTGAAGTCCCTATGTCTTCAATTCCTGAGGAATGCTGGGAGAAAGGGCCAAGTTTGAAGGCTCCCTGTTGAAGGCCTTCTCAAGGAGGTTTGCCCTGCATATGAATTGTGCTGACAAACAACCATATTTGGGGAGAGAGGCTGCAAAGGCCAAAAAACAGCCATACGTTCCTTTTTTTCCAGTCCCAGCTTCAACAAATGGTTGTACGTCATTTTACTTTCCGAGTTCTGTGGCCTGCAAAATGGTGCCGTCCTTTCCAAATCATTTCATATTTTCCCAAATCGCTGAAAATCTGCTCTCCCCCCCCCCCCGCAAGACTAAATTCGGGAGAGAAATCCAAGCCAAGGGTGTAATCCACAAAGCCACTCACACAGGTTGCCAGTTGTGGGTTTTTGCTTTAATTTCCCTGACACCTTTCAAACTGAAGCAGCGAATAACCATTTTAGCCTTAGTGCCCCCCCCCAGTCCAAAATGCATTTAGGTGGTAAAGTTGATTAGGATTGAAGCCTGACTCCTGGGGTCCCCATGGGTAATAATAATAATAATAATAATAATAGTAGTAGTAGTAGTAGTGTAATAATAATAATAATAATAATAATAATAATAATAATAATAATAATAATAATAATAATAATAATAATAGCAGTTCCTTACTAGGAACTGTTTCCATCCTGCGACGATATCTATAATACCATCAAACATCCACATCTGCCTATCCCAGGTCCTTGGGAAAGACTCGATAGGTAGACAAAATGTCAAATCCAGTCTGAACATCTGGCTGACTGTGCGATGATCCATAATAATAATAATAATAAAGTTGGAAGGTACATTGGAGGTCATCTAGTCCAACCCCCTGCTCAGGCAGGAAACCCTATACCATTTCAGACAAATGGCTGTCCAGTCTCTTCTTAAAAACTTCCAGTGTTGGAGCATTCACAGCTTCTGGAGGCAGGTTGTTCCACTGGTTAATTGTTCTTACTGTCAGGAAGTTTCTCCTTAGTTCCAGGTTGCTTCTCTCCTTGATGAGTTTCCATCTGTTGCTTCTTGTCCTGCCTTCGGGCGCTTTGGAGAATAGCTTGACTCCCTCTTCTTTGGGGCAGCCCCTGAGATACTGGAAGATTGCTATCCTGTCCCCCCTTGTCCTTCTCTTCATTAAACTGGACATCCCCAATTCCAGCATCCGTTCCTTATATGTTTTAGCCTCCAGTCCCCTGATCATCTTTGTTGCTCTTCTCTGCACCCTTTCTAGAGTCTCAACATCTTTTTTTACATCATGCTGACCAAAACTGGATGCCGTATTCCAAGTGTGGCATTGTAAAGCGGTATTAATACCTCACCTGATCTGGATTCTAGATTGATGTTGCTTTCTTGGAAGCCACAAAAACAAGAATATTTGCAACTCAGGGTTGAAATGTGGGGTCCACGGTGCAGACCTTGGTTACATCTGGCAGATGTTTCATTACCTGACTAGGTAGCGTCATCAGTGTATAGTGAATGTGGGTGTGCTCCTTGTTTCTATGCAGTAGCTTGCTCTTGCAGTAGTTTTCTCTGCCGGTGTTGACAAACCCCACACCCACTAGCCCTGACGAGGTTATCTAATTGGGTAACACAATGTTTGCAAAAAAACAAACAGGTGAGAGAGCACCTAGGACCCCCACAAGCAACACAGAGGTGGTTTTATTATAGTTTTCTTCCAAATTTAACGGCCCGGTCACTCCTGTGATGTCGTGATAGTTTTTCCTAATCAGGCTCAATCCTGTTTAGCTCTCCAAACACAACTAAAATTGATCAGCATCATTGTGCCACCTCTCCAAAGTGATCACAAGCCACGGGTGTCCGCAGAATATGGTCAAAAGATTCAAGTGGGTTGGCCAGCCACACCCTGCCAATAAGCCTATTTAGAAGTGTGCAGTTTTACTCTCCCTGGACTGCCGTAGAGAGTTAAGATGGTTCCCTGGAGGCGACGGAGGGAAATTAAAATAGCTTTTCTGCTGATAGTCTCAAGTCAAGAAGTATGAATGGCGCTGCTGAAAAATTGCATCAAAGCAGAGCGATAGTCTAAGCCAGCCCAATCTAAAAATGGGCTTTATAGTTTTCCTGCATATATATTCTTTTCTCTTCGTTGGCAATCATTCCCATTGGTTTTTAGACCTAGAGTGTACTGTTTTAGGCTTGCAGGGTTAACAGGCATAAAGATTTTAATTTCACAACATGGAAGAAAAATCAAAACAGTTATGCTTTCCTCTTCAGCTCTGTTAGGGATGAAGTCCCAGACGTCCCTAAATATGTCTGTTTGTCAGCACAATTCATCTGCAGGGCAAACCTCCTTGAGAAGGCCTTCAGCAGGGGGTCTTCAAGCTTGGCCCTTTCTCCCAGAATTCCTCAGGAATTGAAGACATAGGGACTTCAACTCCCAGAATGCTATTTGAATGGATGCATGCCAGCTTTGGAACTCTGGGAGTTGAAGTCAACATGTCTTAAAAGTTCCTGAGATGGAGAAACACTGATCCAGACCAGGGGTCTTCTAACGTGGCCCTTTGATGACTGTGGACTTCAGCTCCCAGGATTCCTCAGTCGGCCATTTTGATGAAACTGCGGGCTTGGATCCAGACCAGGGGCCTTCAAACTTGGCCCTTTTATGACTGGTGGACTTCAACTCCCAGAATTCCTCAGCCAGGCAGCCATGTTTGAAGACTTTAGTCTTCCAGGTCTGACACGGTGGGGGGGGGGGAGAGCAGATTTTCAGCCACTTGGGGAAATATGAAATGATTTGGAAAGGACGGCAGCATTTTGCAGGCCCCAGAACTCGGAGAGTCAAATGACTTACAACCATTTGTTCGAAGCTGGGAGTGGAAAAAAAGGAACGTATGGCTGTTTTTCGGCCGTTGCAGCCTCCCTGTGATCAAAATTAGGAAGCTTGGCCACTGACATGTATTTGTGACGGTGGCCCTGTCCCGGGGTCACGTGATCGCCACCTTCTGACCAGCAAAATCAATGGGGAAGCCTTATCCACTTAACAACAGTATTGCTAACTTAACCACTGCAGCGATGCACTTAACAACTGGAGCGAGAAAGGTCATAAAATGGAGCAAAACTCACGGAACAGCTGTTTCACTTGTCTATGGAGGTTCTCCATCATCTGGGTCCTGGTTGCCCCAAAGACGCTTTTTCCAGGAGGCAACTGGACTCTTCTTGTTTTTTCTTTGAAGACATTTCGCTTCTCATCCCAAGAAGCTTCTTCAACTCTGGCTGGAATGGTGGGCAATGGTTTCTTCAGTCAGAGCTGAAGAAGCTTCTGGGATGAGAAGTGAAACGTCTTCAAAGAAAAAAAAAGGAAGTCCAACTTGCCTCCTGGAAAACGCATCTTTGGGATAACTGTGTCACTTGGCAGCAGACATTTTGGACTCTTGGCGGTGTAGGGCTACTTGTGTTACGGGAAAAACAATCCCAATATTTTAAGAACGCCCGTCTTGATGTAAATGAGAAGCATCTCCCTGGCTGAGTTCACATCGTACAACGAATTAAGCGAATGTCACACTAAGCAACACTCTGCTTCTTAACCTGTGTTTCCCCAAGGAATGGAATAGAATAGAATGGAATGGAATGGAAAAAATGTAATGTAATGTAATAGAATAGAATAGAATAGAATAGAATAGAATAGAATGGAAAAAATGTAATGAATGAAATAGAGTAGAATAGAATAGAACAGAAAATATAGAATGGAATAGAATGGAATGGAATGGAAAAAATGTAATGAATGGAATAGAATAGAATAGAATAGAGTGGAATAGAATAGAAAATATAGAATAGAATAGAATAGAATAGAAAATATAGAATAGAATAGAATAGAATAGAATAGAATAGAATAGAAAATATAGAATAGAAAATATAGAAGAGAAGAGAAGAGAAGAGAAGAGAAAAAATGTAATGAATGTAATGGAATGGAATAGAATAGAATAGAATAGAAAAGAATAGAACAGAACAGAATAGAATTAGATAATGAAATAGAATAGAATAGAATAGAATAGAATAGAATGGAATGGAATGGAATAGAATAGAATAGAATAGAATAGAATAGAATAGAATAGAATAGAATAGAATAGAGCTGGAAGGGACCTTGGAGGTCTTCTAGTCCAGCCCCCTGCTCAAGCAGGAGAACCTATACCATCTCAGACAGGTGAATGTCTAGTCTTTTCTTAAAAACCTCCAGTAAACTGTTTCCCCTGAAGGTGTGGTTTACACAATTGGCTTCCACAACTGTTTGGAAGCAAAGTAGCAGGCTGAGGCTGTAACCAGGGGCTCCGTCTCAGATTGGGGAGGGCTGTGTATGAGGATTTTCTAAAGTCACTCTCAGTTGTTTATCCCTCCCCTCCCCACAAGAGACTAGGCCAGGGGTAGGCAACCTTGGCCCCTTCATGACTTGTGGACTTCAACTCTCAGAATTCCTGAGTCAGCCTGGCTCAGCTCGGAAACCTCTCCCTTTCCCCTCAGCGTGGCTGGCTCAGGAATTCTGGGAGTTGAAGTCACAAAAAGAGCCAAGGTTGCCTACCCCTGGTCACTAGCCAGTTAAAGATGAGCTTGTACTTTTCTTCTACTTGGAAACCACTCCTGGGCTTTGGGCTTGAGGTGGAAAAAAAAATAGGACATTTGATTTTGGGTTTTGCAGGTTAGATAGGCTTGTTGTTGCAGAAATGGCTAGTTTATATTATTATATAAAAGTAAAAAGTTCAGGTTGATGCTACTGCACCAAAAGGAGTGGAAAGCAGCAATAAATAATAATAGAGTTGGAAGGTACCTTGGAGGTCATCTAGTCCAACCCCCTGCTCAGGCAGGAAACCCTATACCATTGCAGACAAATGGCTGTCCAGTCTCTTCTTAAAAACTTCCAGTGTTGGAGCATTCACAACTTCTGGAGGCAGGTTGTTCCACTGGTTAATTATTCTCACTGTCAGGAAGTTTCTCCTTAGTTCCAGGTTGCTTCTCTCCTTGGTTAGTTCCATCTGTCGCTTCTTGTCCTGCCTTCAGGCGCTTTGGAGAATAGCTTGACTCCCTCTTCTTTGGGGCAGCCCCTGAGATACTGGAGCACTGCTATCCTGTCCCCCCTCGTCCTTCTCTTCATTAAACTAGACATCCCCAATTCCAGCAACCATTCCTTACAGGTGTTTTAGCCTCCAGTCCCCTGATCATCTTCGTTGCTCTTCTCAATTCTTTCAATTCTTTCTTCCCTTTTCCCTCGCTCTCTACACTTTTCCCCTTCCCTTTTTCCCCTCCCATTATTTTCTTTTGCACACACGCACAGACACACAGACACACAGAGAGACAGAGACACATACAGAGACACAGACACAGACACACACACACACACACACACACACACACAGAGGAAAGCTGAGCAGGGAATCCCCAGATCCCAGCGACCCTCTCACCCTCCCCCAGGGCGGGGATGGGATGGGGGGGGCTATTTACATCTTTGTAGGGCGTCGTCGTCGTCGTCGTCGTGGCGATCTCCTGGCCCGGGTGGAGGGTGGGGCTGCCGGGCGCTTTGGGGAGGCCGGGGGGCGCAGGCGGGGGCGGCAGCTGCTCCTGCTCCGGGCCGGCCGGGCCCTCCTGGCCGGGGAAAGACCCCGTCGGGGCAGCGCTGGAAGCGTTCGATCTCTCTAGGTAGATCCCTTGGTCCGTCAGCCCCCGGCCTTGTGGGAAGGGGCCAGTCCCCCCGAGGGGATCCACCGGCCCGGCCTCCCCTCCTCCTTCTTCTTTCTCCTCCTCCTCCTCCTCCTCTTCCTCCTCCTCCTGCCCCCTCCGCTGCTCCTCCTCCTCTTCCTCGTCGGGCTGCCGGTGGCTCTCCACGTCCACCTCCGCCTCTTCCTCCTCCTCCTCCTCCTCTTCCTCGCTGCTGTCCTCGCTGGGGAAGCTGCCGCTGGCCCCGCCGGGGGAGAGGAGCCGGGGGAGGGCAGGCTGGCGCTCGGCCGGCAGGACCAGGAGCGGTGGCGGCGGGGGCTGGGCCGGGGGCGGCGAGGCGGGCCGGCCCGACGGCTGGTGGTGCTGATGGAGCTTGGCCAGGCTCTCCGAGTCCTCCTTGCCCCCCACCGGGCGGAAGGCGCTGGAGTGGCGGTAGGCAGAGCCCCCCGTGGGCCGCGCCGGGCCCTCCAGCAGGTGGGCGCCCTCGGAGCTGGGGGAGGCGCCCAGCTCGCCCTCCCCGCCGCCTCCACCGCCCTCGAAAGCGCGCGGCTCCCGGCTGCTGCCCCCTCCCGCAGCAGGAGGAGACCCCAGCCCGCCGGCGGACGCCCCCTCCAGCCCGGGCTCGGCGCCCAGCTCCAGGAAAGCCTGGCGGAGCAGGCGGGAGCTCTCCCCGCCCAGCGACGAGCAGCCCGGCGGTGGAGGCGGCGGGGGCGGCGGGGGCTGCAGGTAGGTGGGCAGGCCGGGCAGCCCCGCCGGCGCCCGGGGGGGCCAGAACATGCAGAAGGGCGGGTAGAAGGCGGCGGCGGCCGCCGCGGCCGCCGCGGCCGCGTCGTTGCGGGTCCCCGGCCCGAAGAGGCCCGAGAGCCCCGCTCCGGCCGGCGGGACCCCCGCCCCGGCTTTGGAAGCCCCCGAGGCGCCTGGAGCGCCGACGCCCAGCCCGTCGGACGCCTCCTCCTTCTTGTGGCAGAGGCCGAAGGCCGCGGCGGCGGCGGCCGGGAAGCCGTAGGGGTGCGGGAAGAGCCCCCCGCAGGCGGGGAACTTGGACAGGGCGCCCCCGAAGGAGCCCCCCTTGCTGGGCAGCGGCATGAGCGGGTAGCTGCGCGCCCCTTTGCCCTGCGCCATCGCCGCCGCCGCTGCTGCAGCCGCCGCCGCCACCGCTTCGTGGAGGTCGCTCTCGTCGTCGAAGCGCGGCCGCTTCTGGCCCAGGTCCGGCGGGGGCGGCGGGGGCGGCGGCGGCGGGGGTCCCCCGGCCAGGAGGTGCGGGCCCAGCAGCCCCCCTCCGCCCGCGCCCCCCGCGCCCCCCAGCCCCCCCGCGCCGCCGGCGGCCGCCTTGACCGAGCCCAGCCCGTGGCAAGGCAAAGGGGGCTGCGGGGGCTGCGGCGGGGCTCCCGTCGGGTGGTGCCCGGACGGCCCGGCGGAGCAAGGCAAGGCCCGCTTGCGGCTGCCCCCGTTGAACATGGCCTTGACGTCCTCCCAGGCGAAGACCAGCTCGTCCGGCGGCGCCCGCTCGCTCAGCTTGAGGTGGCGGCGCCAAGAGTTGAAGTTGGCCGCGTCGGGCTGCAGGTACTTGGCGTCGGGGGTGCGGTGGGAGTGGAAGATGAACTTGTTGGGCGAGAAGTAGAGGCTGCAGTAGCTGCACTTGATGCACTTGGCCCGCGAGCTGTTGTAGCGGGCCGGGATGAAGCTGCCCCGGCAGCCCCAGGCGCACTCGTGCGACACGTCGAAGGCGAAGTTATCCGGCAGCTTGGGCGGACGGTTCTCCCCCAGGAACGACTTGCACAGCCGCTCCGCCTCCCGCTTGGTGATCATGCCGCAGCGGCGCGACGAGATGGGCATGGCCCCGGCCCGGCGCAGGATCTCCAGCTGGACGGGCGTGCACTGCACGCAGGTGATGCCCAGCGCCACCCGACGGTTGTGGATCTCGTTGTAGCTGAAGGTCTTGAGCAGCGTGTTGGAGATCTGCGCCAGGCACAGGCGCTCCTGGCCGTCGATCACCAGCGAGACGATGGGGATGCCGTACAGGATCACCTGGCCCACCTGGTTGGGCTTCATGGCGCCGGGGGCCGTCGGGGGGGCGGTGGAGGCGCGGGAGGCGGCTGGCGGCTGGGGCAGCGGGTCGGGCGGGAAAGCGCCGGACGGGGCGGCCAGCAGGAGGTCTGTGGGGGCCGGCAAAGGGCTGCTGGCCATGGTCGAGGGCCCTGGGTGGCTTCCTGGCTGAGCGCTGGGGAGAGAAGAAGAGAGTGCCGCGTGAGGACTAGCGCCCTTGAAAGGCTGAGTTCGTTCGTCGGCGGCTCCCTAACCCTGCCTTTGCGGAGCGACAGGCCGGTTATTTTCACCTTCGCTAGAAGAAGAAAGAGCGGGAAGGGACCTTGGAGGTCTTCTAGTCCAGCCCCCTGTGTATTAGCTATTTGTATCAACAACTGTTGGATCCTGGATTAGAATAAAAGGAAATGGAATGGAATGAAAAATAGAATAGAATGTAGAAAGAATAGAATAGAATAGAATAGAATAGAATAGAATAGAATAGAATAGAATAGAATAGAATAGAATAGAATAGAATAGAGAAAATATGGAATAGAATAGAATAGGATAGGATAGGATAAAATATGGAATGAAGTAGAATAAAATACAGTACGGAATAGAATGTAGAATGTAGAATGGAATGGAATGGAATGGAATGGAATGGAATAGAATAGAATAGAATAGAATAGAATAGAATAGAATAGAATAGAATAGAATAGAATAGAATAGAATAGAATAGAGAAAATATGGAATAGAATAGAATAGGATAGGATAGGATAAAATATGGAATGAAGTAGAATAAAATACAGTACGGAATAGAATGTAGAATGGAATGGAATGGAATGGAATGGAATGGAATGGAATAGAATAGAATAGAATAGAATAGAATAGAGAAAATACGGAATAGAATAGAATAGGATAGGATAGGATAAAATATGGAATGAAGTAGAATAAAATACAGTACGAATTGAATAGAATGTAGAATGTAGAATAGAATAGAATAGAATAGAATAGAATAGAATAGAATAGAATAGAATATGGAATGGAATGTAGAACAGAACGGAACAGAATATAGAATAGAATAGAATACAATAGAATACAATAGAATATAGGATAGGATAGGATAGAATATGGAATGGAGTAGAATAAAATACAGTACGGAATAGAATGTAGAATAGAATGGAATGGAATGGAATAGAATAGAATAGAATAGAATAGAATAGAATAGAATAGAATAGAATAGAATAGAAGCTGGAAGGGACCTTGGAGGTCTTCTAGTCCACCCCTCTGCTCAAGCAGGAAAGATCAAAGAAACCCCCAGGTCCATCTATCGGTAACCATGGAGCCTTTTGGGGTCACAGCCTCCCCAACCTTGTCATTACAAAGACAAGGAAGAGAAGCTGGAGAGAGAACGAACCAACAACATTGAGAAAAACAACAAATTCAACCAATACCAACAGACTGCTCTATGGACTAGGAGACAAAATGTTTATTTATGGGCCGCCCATCGCAATACAGACTACCAGCCTCAAAGGCCTGCCAACCAGCTATTTTCTCCTGCAGCCTCTCAGAATTTTTTTTTTTAAATAATGGCCTTGCTGCATTAAAACTGGACTGTGCCCAATTGGGCATCATCTTGTTTACTCAGAAATAGCAATTTGGATAAGTTATTAAGAAGAAGAGTGGACAACCATTGGTCTGAAATGGTATAGGACAGGTTCTCCTGCTTGAGCAGGGGGCTGGACTAGAAGACCTCCAAGGTCCCTTCCAGCTCCTATTCTATTCTATTCTATTCTATTCTATTCTATTCTATTCTATTCTATTCTATTCTATTCTATTCTATTCTATTCTAATTCCAATATCTATTCTATTCTATTCTATTCTATTCTATTCTATTCTATTCTATTCTACATTCCATTCCATTCCATATTTTCTATTCTATTCTATTCTGTTCTGTTCTGTTCTGTTCTGTTCTGTTCTATTCTAATCCATTCCATTCCATTCCATTTTGTTTTTGCTTCTAAATTTTGCTGAGTTCGGAGAACCAGCTGAATGCACACTGCTTCCAGAAGTCCAGTCTAGGCCTGGACCGGTTCTCTTATTGGATGCAGGTCTGGGCCTCCGAGGCCTAGAACAGCCCACGGGAAATGCATGGATGCCACTTCTGGAACTCCATTCTAGGCCCTGGAGGCCAGGAGGAGGCCACCCAGGCCTAGAACAGCCCACTGGAAGTGTATGGATGCCACTTCCGGAAGTCCGTTCTAGGCCTCGGGGGCCCAGACCTGCATCCAATAAGAGAACCGGTTGTTCAGGTGTTTGAATCCCACCACTGGATTACTCTTAGGTAACCGTGCCTACAAGTGATCTTATGACTTACGACAGTTGATTTAGTGACCGTTCAAAGCGACCATGGCACTGGAGAAAAAAGTGTCTTATGACCCGTTTGCCCATGTGTGACGATCACAGCATCCTCCACGGTCACGTGATCAAAACTCCAGACCACTCGGCAACTGACTCCGGTTTATGACAGTTATGCGGTGTCCTCGGGGTCATTTGATCCCCTTTGATGACCTTTGCACCCGCAATGGTCAATGGGGCAGCCCGACTTGCTTAACGGCTGCGTTGCTAGCCTAACCACTGCAGCGACTCGCTTAACGACAGGGGTGGGAAAGGTCGTAAAATGCAGCAAAGCTCACTGAAACACTGACTTGCTTAGCCACAGAAAATCAGGGCTTGGTTGTGGCCGTAAAGTTGAGGCATACCCATACTAGCCTTCTCTAACTTGGTGCCATGGGCATCCACAATGGCCTGAATGCCTGCATCTTGTCTCAGATGCAGGTCCGTATTGTCTGAATTGGGTAATTAGCATGGGGACACCAAAAAGCCCGTGACTGCTTTTTAGTGAGGGCTCTGGCTGGTGCTTTGAGACACCCCCCCCCCCCGCTACCCCCCCAGACAGGCTGCTTTGAGATTTCAGCATCAGCCCTACACTTTAAAAAAAAAAGTCTTTTTTTTTTTCCATATTTTCAGCTGGGTGTATCCCAAGCCAGGATCCAGGGGCTGCTGGATGATCCTAAAAGGAGACGGATCCCATTAGAATCCGTTGCTGTGTGTAGCCCTGTTCAAAAGCCAGGCGTCAAATGAACCAGGAAGCGTTTGGAAAAAAATGGCAATCCGTTTGAACTAATCCAGTGGTTCTCAACCTTTTTAATGCCGCGACCCCCAACCGGTCGTAAGTCGAGGACTACTCAACCGGTCATAAGTCGAGGACTACTCAACTGGTGCAGCATCGTTTGCAGAATGGGGCTTTTGGCGGGCTCAGCAGGGCAGAGACAGCCTGGACAATTCTTATTGGCTTTTGAAAGCCAATAGAATTAGACTCTATTCAAGAGAGCCTATTCTATTGGCTTTCAAAAGCCAATAGAATAAAAGGGAGTAGCACAGCTAAGGAAAAGGGGAAAAAAATGGCGGACAGCCCGTGACCCCCGTGAAATGGTTGTTCGACCCCAAATGGGGTCCCGACCCACAGGTTGAGAACCACTGAACTAATCAGATCAATATGTCATTTGTAATAGTAAATATGCATGCAATTTATATAATCAATTGTCTCTGGGCCTGATTATCGGGATACCCTACAGAGCCATGCAGACTCGCTCTGGTTAGCGAGATGGGCTGCATATAATTTAAACAAACAAACAAAACAATAAACAAAAACAAACAAAAAAACAAATAAATAAGATTGTATACCAACACACATACTCATCAATCAATCAGAATAGATAGATTCCAACAATGGATGGAAACTGACCAAAAAGAGACGCAACCTGGAATTAAGGAGAAACTTCCTAACAGTGAGGACAATTAACCAGTGGAACAGCTTGCCACCAGAAATCTTGGGTGCTCCATCACTGGAGGTTTTTAAGAAGAGACTGGACAATCACCTGTCTGAGATGGTATATGTTCTCCTGTTTAAGCAGGGGGCTGGACTAGAAGACCTCCAAGGTCCCTTCCAGCTCTATTCTATTCTACGTATGTGAGAGGTTGCCAATTCTGAAAAGCTGGGAAAAATCCAACAAAAGACCAACAACTGCACTAGCTGCCTCTTCTCCCACCACAAGGAATGTGTTTCAGTGCCCCGAGAATCAGATAGAAAAACAGAAAAAAGCTCTTTTGCAGATGTTAAAACAGTTTTGAGTGAGCTGGTCTGGCAGAAATTACACTAGCATGGCTGACCTTGGTGCACACTAACAAGCAATCTAGCCAACCGGGAGAGGCACGTGCATAAAAATATTCTTCTTTTGGCCAATTAGCCGCAGGATTTAACCAAACCCATACCATTGGGTATGTCTAGTTTAATGAAGAGAAGGACAAGGGGGGACAGGATGGCAGTGTTCCAATATCTCAGGGGCTGCCATAAAGAAGAGGGAATTAAGCTATTTTCCAAAGCACCTGAAGGCAGGACAAGAAGCAACGGGTGGAAGCTAATCAAGGAGAGAAGCAACCTAGAACTAAGGAGAAACTTCCTGACAGTGAGAACAATTAACCAGTGGAACAACCTGCCTCCAGAAGCGGAAATGCTCCAACACTGGAAGTTTTTAAGAAGAGACTGGACAGCCATTTGTCCAAAATGGTGTAGGGTTTCCTGCCTGAGCAGGGGGTTGGACTAGATGACCTCCAAGGTCCCTTCCACTTTAATTATTATTATGGATCATCACACAGTCAGCCAGATGTTCAGACTGGATTTGGCATTTTGTCTACCTATCGAGTCCTTACCCAGGACCTGGGATAGGCAGATGTGGATGTTTGATGGTATTACAGGTATCGTCGCAGGATGGAAGCAGTTCCTAATAAGGCTGCCTTTTGCAATTGACTAATAGCGAATTTGTCAATGCCATGGTGTTCAAGTGGTGCTCCAGTTGTTTTGGATTGCACCCAAGGAGCCTATGACTATTGGTACTACCCTTGCTTGCTTTTGCCACAGTCTTTCTATTTCTATTTGTAGGTCTTTGTATTTTGTTATTTCTCCAGTTCTTTCTCTTCTATTCTGCTATCTCCAGGCACTGCCACGTCCACTATCCAGACTTTTTTGTCTTTCTTATCGACAATTGTTAAGTCTGGGGTGTTATGTTGCAGGTGCTTGTCTGTTTGAATTCTGAAGTCCCAGAGCAGTTTAATTTTATCATTTTCTATGACTTTCTC